GGGTTATAGTTAATAAACTACTACTACTTTACATGAAGCATAGAGAAGGGTTATAGTTAGTAAACTCTACTACTTTACATGAAGCATGAGAAGGGTTATAGTTAGTAAACTCTACTACTTTACATGAAGCAGGAGAAGGGGTTATAGTTAGTAAAACTCTACTACTTTACATGAAGCATGAGAAGGGGCAATGTTTACTAAATCTCTACTATATTGCATGCAGTATGACAAGGGGCAATGTTTACTAAATCTCTACTATATTGCATGCAGTATGACAAGGGGCAATGTTTACTAAATCTCTACTATATTGCATGCAGTATGACAAGAGGTTATAGTTACTAAAACTCTACTATATTACATGCAGTATGACAAGAGGTTATAGTTACTAATACTATATTAGATGCAGCATGACAAGGGGTTATAGTTATTAAATCTCTATTACATGCAGCATGACAAGGAGCTATGTTTACTAAATCTCTACTATATTGCATGCAGTATGACAAGGGGTTATAGTTACTTTAGTGACTTACAAATATAAACAGTAATCACAAGTTGACTCAGATCAATACACAACAAAGTAATAATAATAATAAGTAAAAACGGGAGAAAGGGTAAAAGGGGGTCATTAAAATAATACAATTTTCAGAGAAGACATATATATATATCACTTATACAATGGAAATGTGTTTCTGATCCCCTGGGAAAGTAAGTATCAGGTTTATATTTGATTTCATAGGCTATTGTGTTCAGAAGAAAGTTCCCTTGTCCTGGTTTATAACGCAGATTTATCACAATTTAGACACTCATTTAAAAAAAAGTAATAATTTTCCAGAATTTTATCTGAATAAAAAAAAAAACCTGCGAGTAGTTTTGTTCATGTATATACCCCTTTCTAGACATTTTAGATATAAAAATTAATTAATTAAAAGCCATAGCATAACCTAGTTATAATAGTTTTTAACTACAGTACATGTATATCTTAAGTATGATATATTAAAACGTATTTACGATTAGTTATCTAACCTCTCTCTGCGGGACACGATAATATTTTGACAACGCGGTTCATTGACCTGCCCAATGTATTCAATTTGGGAACGTTTGTATACACCCACACATACATACAAAGTGTTTATTTCTACTTTCCAGTTTTCTTAATGTCATTATTTTTGTGTTTAATTTACGTTTACTTAATGCATTCAGTAAATAACTGCATTTTTATGCAATATGATTTATGCATTTATACGTAAAAATAATAAAAAACATATAGTCTGACAACAAATTTGATCTATTTGACTTTGCTGTCTTTAGAAAAGTTTTTTTTTTTTTTTACGATGGAAGTTACTCCGCTGTACAGTAATAATAATGGCCATCAGAATGAGCACGATCAACACGAAGGAAGTAGACCGAAGGGTAGCATGGGACCTGAAACACCCTTCCTATAAAGTGGGTTAACCCTCAGTAGACAATTTCTTTCTAAGTGAATGTGGTCAACTGTGTTTAGTCGAATATATATTTTTGTATATATGGCAAAACTACTAAGGCTATTCTGCCGATTTCCCCAATTTTGAATTACCGACCAGAGGGAAGACAGCCAGTTAGCAGTACCCTAACTACCGACCAAAGGGAAGACAGCCAGTTAGCAGTACCCTACCACCCACAGTCTATGCTTAAGGGCTTGACTGTTACTCATATAATGCACCCTTAGCTTAAAGTGCGGGAAATATTTTGTGATATCGCATTGATACAAATCTGGTTTGTTAAATCTGAAGCTCTACCACGTGTTAGCCCGCAATCATATTTAGTCGACAAAAGTTGATTTCTTCTTTCTTGTAAAAATAAGTTATAGTCAATCATAATATTTCATAAACTAGGATAAATTTAGCCGTACCTTTCTGTACCTACACAATGTATCAGTATTTCTATAAGAAATCAGAACTGAACCTTTACTCTTCCTCATTATTAATAATTAATAGTCGTAAAAATTGTTCAACGACCATTTTGTTTTAAAATTTATAATCATCTCTGCATCAGGCATAACGCTACAGTAAGATGTACATTTATTTATTATTCACTTGAGAAGGATATATACATATATATATATGTGTGTGTGTGTGTGTGTGTGCGTGTGTACATATATATATATATATATTTTAAATAAGATAATAAAAATGCAAGTATATTTGGATCAGCGGCTCCGAATTCCCGTCCTACCAAACATGCTCGCCTTTTCAGCCGTGTGGGCGTTATAAAGTGACGGTCAATCCCACTATTCGTTGGTAAAAGAGTAGACCAAGAGTTTGCCTTGGGTGATGATGACTAGCTGCCTTCCCTCTAGTCTTACACTGCTAAATTAGGGACAGCTAGCGCAGATAGCCCTCGTGCAGCTTTGCGCGAAATTCAAAACAAACAAACAAGCAACAATTTTTTTCGGAACCTTCTTCAAGCTTTTGTTATTTGAGAGACAAGCGTGTCTCATAAATGTATTAATTTTGATATGGTTGGACATTATTTAAAATATTGTTTATAAATACAACATATAACAAAATACCTTAGAAGGCTTAGTTACAATGCTGCAAAACATAGACATTTGTTTAAAATGTACCATGACTTACTTTAATCTGTTTAGAAGTATATATTCCAGGTAAGCTAAATAAAACTAAAAGAAATAAACCCGATGTTATATAATACCTAATATGTCCATGATATTTTCCTAATACTTGCCTCAACTGAACAGAGGTGGTATTTAAAAACTATATTTTATATTTACAGCAGATTGTTATGTGCAATATTTGAATATTGTTTAAAAAATAACTAAAGAGAAAAAGGGAGGTGGGGAGGGACGGCTCCATGGAAGCGTTAATAGGGAAATGAACGAATAACACTATGATAGTGTACAGTGTGCCAAATTTATTGAGCAATTTGTCACCATTATCGTACGTCGTTCTATGCGTACTTTACGTACATTAAATACTGCCAGTAGATACAATCAAAAGTTATAACTTTGAAAGTTCTTATTTCAACTGACCATTGACGATGACGTAGAGCTATTGTGATTAACATACCACTGTTGTTTATACACAGGATTTTGTAGTTAAATGAAAACGGATCTATCAGTACTGATTATGTTGTGACAAAGCAAGGACTGTATTATATCAGCTGACAGAAAGTCTTCCATAACTAATTCTTAGCATTTATTTACTCGTTTTCAGGAAACATATTAACCAATAAGCTTTCAAGGCTTGGGCCTAGAGCTCAACAATCTGAAGGAAAAAAAAAGTTGCAAAATAAATTTTATTTCGAAATTTGTTATAATAAAAACAACTTCCCATACATTTTAATTTATTGTTGTTCTCGTGTTGATGTATAATATCCTTGGTGAGCCATTCGAAGAGGAAGGGCCGCATTTAAAATTATGGGCCTAGAGCACCAGTTAACCTTAATACATCCGTGGTAATTACGGACTTACCGCATTATGGATCAGTCAAACAATTAACAAACCACATCTTTAACAGAAGGTGAAGCTAAGATTATGTTTATTATAGTTTTAAATAATTTGAAAATCATTAAGTTCAGTTATTACGTACCCAACTTCTTATCACAAGTTTATTGCTGATAATAATTTATTGTCTACAAATTTAAGAATTTCTAAAGTTTAAATGTGGTATATAATTAATGTAACTTACGGTGCTACCTTTTGTATGCGAATTATCTTTCTATTCACTTGCTTTGAAGGTGGAATATGTTTTCTTAAGGTCACTGCTGTAACCTTGGCTTGGACTTTAATGATTGGGAACTTATATCATTAAAATACAAGTGAACAGGAAAGATATATATATATCATAAGGATGTGTTTCAATTATCTTACATTAACGTCAACGCCACACATAATGCTTTTTTGTCCAGTAGGAAATGAATCTGAAAATAATCAGTTAAAGCCTTATATTATCCAATTTGATACTGTTCTTGTTTATATTAAGGCCCTATTATGGTTTATGATAAGCTTTAGCAATCTTATGCATTTTGCTGTTTTTAGAAAACTCACCCCTGCATTCATGAACCTCGGCACATCGTTACACAAAGAAATTAATGTCTAAAACAGTGAAGCATGCAATTTTGTTTTGAGAATTTGGTCATGCCATATCAAAACGAAAATGGATGGGTTGAAGATTTTTGGATAAGCTTGTTTATTTACCAAAGAACCAAATCCTAATGTCTTGTCCCCCAGTGGCACAGCTGTATGTCTGCGGACTTACAACGCTAGAAGGCGTGTTTCGATACCCGTGGTGGGCAGAGCACAGATAGCTAATTCTGTAGCTTTGTGCCTATAAACAAACCTCATATATATACCATTTACTTTACCTTGAACATCACGAGATGGTTTGAAGTGACAAAGCTTGATTGTTTCGGTTTTCAATCAGTAGTTTTTTTCTTTATGATAAATATCGTATGAAATAGCTTGTAGATTTATTGAGTGTCACAATTGGATTTTATTTGAAAAACGTTACAGAATAAAAAATGGTCAGTAGTTACTTATTTACATATCAGCTTTGCTCAGCAAAATTTCATATTATTCCAGTTATACTCAGAGATTAGGTGTTAGTGGGTATGTTAATACTTGCACATACCCTGTTCAGCTCCTCGTTAATTTTATGTGCTCTTATAGGACTTATTTTTACATTTTAACAGGTACGAGGGATTTATTAAAATTCTAATAAGATATTGACTTCTTAGAACAATATCATAATACACACTGAATACCTTTAACAGGTTTTGATGAAGCGACAAGCTGTGAGTTTGAAGGAATCAGGTATGCTGATGGGGATGAATGGAATCCTGATCCCTGTACCATTTGTCGCTGTTTGTTGGGCAACACGATTTGTGACACCGAAGATTGTCCAGATATAGAATGTAAAACCCAGAAATATATTCCTCTTGGGAAGTGTTGTCCAATATGTGCTGGTGAGTTTTCTTAAAGGTTTTGTTGTACATGAATGTATTTCCAGTATTTATCAGATAGAAAAAAACAGTTTGATTCTGAGTAAAAATAATCAAGAATATTTAAGTTTTCACTATGTAACAAATATATCTATTACCATTCCAAGGTTATGTAGCTCAAAACAGAAAATGGCTTAATAATATGTTCTGATGCCATGTAAAATTGTATCTATAGACCTTTTGATGATTTTAGACCAAACTCAGATTGTATAACAATGACAATCACTTTCTTGAATAAATAACTGTGTCTCTTACTCAATTCTACACGTGAAGTAGTAATGTAGATCCAAGTATACCATTACAACCTAGCTAACTGTTTAGAGTTATGTTTAATGAGTTTCAAATACAACATTATACCATAACAAGATGTTCTGAGTCATGTTTTATGTGTTTGTTTATGTCTCTGGTGGTGGTGGGTGTTATATATTTTTATGGAGCAAAGCCAACTCACCAAAGAGTGCATATTCTTGATAAAAACAACTCTGAAAATAAAAATTAATATGAAAATAGGTTTGAAAACACATTCTGTATTTGGTATTATATTCTGCTTAAGAGGGTTGTTAATGTTTTCTTTATATATATATGTATTATATAAACATCCGATGGTAAGAAAACTAGAAAGCTAGCAGTGTAGAGTGCTCAGCACCCTTTAATAAAATTGACCATTTGGTAAAATCACGTTGCAGTGTTTTTATCATTTAATCTGGAGCTCAAGTTTATGGAAGGTATATTTTATTATTTGCACGTGGGAGTTGGAAGACTCGACTGGAATCGCGAAGTAAGTTTTAGCTTTTACCCGACAAAAAGATAACTGTTTTACATAATACAAAAATATTCGGTAAAAAAAAACATTGCGCTCCTTGTTATCTATCATTTTCTAATTATTTGTTTGGTGTATGAACATATCATGAGTTTTCTGTATTTCAGTATAATATTTTTCTAAAATTTGTCAGTTGTCAAGAAAGTCATTGATCTGCTTTCATTCTAGCTACCTTTGTTCTTAAAGAAACACCTGATCTACCCATGGTAGGGTATGGCTGTAACACTGCACTTTGTGCAAGGATGTCAACAACAGTATTCTTCAATGGTAGGTCAGGTGATGCCTTGAGGTTGAGACCTCCATTAAATGTAAATGAGAATGACTATCACGTGTGTGGCACTAGTCACTATGAATTAGTCTCACATTACCTTTAAATTACATAATGTGAGGCTTAAACAATATGATATATAATCTCAACTAATACAGATTTAAGAGAAAATAGCTTATGGACCGATAAAGGTGACTGTCCAACTAAGACTGAGAAGATTATGAGTTCCAGCTGATGATTCAGGAAGGACAATAACTTCTGGTATACACAGAATAGCTGTTCACGCTCTTCCTCTGGGGATTGATTGACCTTGGTGCATGAAAAGCACAGATGGCTGAGGGTTTTCGCAGTGATGTGGCATCTGACAAGTCTAAGGCTGAGTGTGGTGGTCTGTAAAGGACTCCTAAACCTTTGCCAGCTAGAGCAATTCAGCCCCAGCTCTGGTCATAGCCATTACAAGAATGGTCAAGAGAGACAATGTTGGTGGACGAAATTCACCAACAGGAACTATCTCTCCATCACGTTTGATGGCAGACATCAAATGGTGAATGCGGTGGTGAGCTTATTTGGGCTTGAAAGTATATTGTTGAGGCAACTATGGCTTATGGGGGAGGTTTGGGTAATTCAGAGCTGATGGACGAGCTGCTGACAAGCAACTTGTTGCTCTAACTTGAACCATACATCGACTACTCTCACAAGTAATGGCCGAGAGGTTGTGAGGGAAAGATCTTGGCCTTGAATTACCACGGGTCCCTATGAGTGAAGGAAAACAGAGTGAAGGGCAACAAAGAAAGATTAGAAGCATTTTCTGAAACGTTTCAGGTATGTAACTACTTGATATAGCTGATCTCTGAAGAAGGTTATGCAACCCTTGATCTTGAGTCTAGATGATTCAGACCTAGACTCCATTAAGGGCTTGAGTGAAGAACAACTTTGGGTTCATAAGACAGTTCTTGCTGACTTATGTTGAAGGTTTAATCCAGTGGAAAATTGATCAATCCATCGAGCTAAGTTAAGGGCTTGGAAGAGGGGTACCACAGGGAATTTAAGTACTTGCATAGATTATCTGTCGTTTTCATAATAATGCTTATCTTGCAATTTCTTTAACAGATCACAATAATATTGTTATTGACAAGTTTATGGAAGAGCTACCCTGTGAGATGATGGAGCACCTCTTGTATGTAAGAAATCTTCTCACCTATTCCGAGGGAAGTGGTAATTTGGAACTTTCCCAAGAGAGAAAGAAACCTGCAGTGGCAGTAACAGTACATTCAACTAGTATCTTACCAAGATATCTACACTAAGTCAGACTTGAGTCCATCTGAGGATTAATCAACCACTCACTCATCCTGGGAGTACAATGGAGCCACACTGGTACCCACTGAATGAGCAAGACTATTTTGGTCCTTCTATGGTTTATATGCTGAAACCTATGCTGATGATGCCTTCACCCAGATATTATTAGGGAAGGGAGGAGCAAAATATTTGCTTTGCCTGTGGAACATTGGGTTACTTTGAGTGAACTGTCCATATCTTGCCATTCAGTCAGCAAAATGGACAAAGCTGTGAGTTTCAATCAATGACTCAAAAGATGTAGGGAAACTAACAACAGGCAGTGAAAGCTGCTATTACAGCTATGGAATGCTAATAGAGCTCAAGTAAGGTCTAGCCACCAACATAGGTAATTCAATGGATGGGTTACAACTAAAAGTTTGGTGATATTGTTTATGCTTGTCAGAGTAGAAGGGCGAGGGATAGACTTCCTGGATGATGCAGGATTGGCCAGAACACTGGCAGATCTCACATATAGCAACATTACAGAAGTATGATTCTGTCATACAGCATTGTCTGGGCTACATTATTGTTACACGACATTGTGAGACCCTGTCTGTTTATTGAATATCCAAAACCTGGACACTATGTGGAAGCTGAAACCATTTCTGCCATGATGAAGAAAAGCCATAAAATTGGAGATTTTACTAGTGGATAGATGCCATGATTAACACTTTGAAATCTCTGAAAAAAGACGCTGAAAAACATAGATCTAGTATGGATGATCCTTCTCATGCAGCTCGGTAAATCTTTGTCAGCTCAGACTGAAGAATGTTGCATAGATGCACGTAAACTGTGGCACTTGTACAAGCAGTGGGTAGTGCAGGATGGTGTGCTGTATGAGTGTTATCAAATATCGAGCTTTAATGCTAAGCTTGTTTCGTAGCTAGTGGTCTCGAGAATTTTGAGGCACACGATTATCAACATTTTGCATAACCCAAAGACTGGAGGGCACCATAGTTTTACTAACACGTCTGCATTAGTTTACACATATGAAAATCTAGAAAAAGACTGCTATATGACAGAAGATAAGCTATGATAAGGCAGGGAAGGAACAAATGTACCAGTATGATCACTAGGTGTGGCTTTAGTATTTTAAAGTGGAGCAGAAGCCACTCAGCAGCGACTGGAAACGACCTTAAATTGTGCTCTGACTAGTCAGCCCATTAATATATGAGTTTCAGTAGTCAAGGGCATGGAAGTGAGCATAGTGCATGTTGACCACCTGCATCTATACAATACCAAAAACCTCCAATGAATTGGCTCGACTAAGAATAAAAAAAGGAGATCAAATCTGATCCAGAAGGTAAGAAGGAAAGAGCTGAGAATACTGCTCTGGCTGTTCACGATGAGAAAGATAAAGAATATCCAGATCAAAAGGCAAGAGACAGCTCAAATGGTCAGTCAAAATTATCACTGGCGGTTTCTCGATTGGCATGACTGGGATTAGTCACAATTATTAACATCTAGAACAGTCCTTTGATTAAGAAATCAATTGCTGAAAGAAAGTGGAGATCCTTGCTTTTTTAGATATCGAGTAATATTCACTGTTTAATGTGTGAACTACATTATATGATTCCCTCTTGATTATCATGAAAGAAAGTGGAGATCCTTGCTTTCTTAGATATCGAGTAATATTCACTGTTTAATGTGTGAACTACATTATATGATTCCCTCTTGATTATCATGAAGCTAGGAAAGTTGGTACCAGTAGATGTAATGCCTACTGTATCAGCAGTTGTACAACTGAAGACGGTGGGTAGATATTTGAAAACTCATCTGAAAGGGCTTTGCAACCTTTGCTGTCTTAGCTGTTGGTTGTATTGTAAAGTATGATATACTTGTTACATTGTCTGATTACCACTCATTTACCTAGAATTAGGATGATATGTTGATCATAAGATTAATTAGACTGAATAGGCTTTGAGAACCTTATATTTCGAGTTATTGATATTGAATATCCTTAGGATATCATATGATATCTGATTGATTCACACACAGTTAGAATAGCTGATGTTTGTACCTGTAATACCAGGACCACTAACAGTATGCACAACTGTAGATGACAGCTAGAAGTTCGAAAACTCAGCCGGGTTTCCAACCTTGCTTTCTGAGCTCCTAAGTGATAAGAAACGTTGTCTGACGTGTCTATAGAATCATTCAATTGATTGGCCAATTGAAAACGTTATGTACAGCATGCCACATGATCCTTTCTGGATTTTCCTCCATACACTTTACGAGTGTATGTAGCTTCTCCACGTGCAGTGAGGAGGTTGTGCTTCCATTAAGTGTTTACTAATATACACTGCTATAAAAATATGAATATTAATCCTGATTTACAAGAATATTACCTGAATAGTATCTATGGCTGAGTTTTGTTAATGATTATTTTGTGATGCCTGAAAATAAAACTAGTGTGCGTTTGACAGCCCTTAGATGTTAAATACCAGGATTTTTGGCACTCTCCACACCAAATAATCGTTCCAAATTAGCACTTTTCAGCAGAAACTTTCACTCCTCAACTAATTTCTCTTGTTGAAAAAT